ACACCATGGACTACATTTTTTTGAAGAAACTATAGGGATGTCTTTATTTCCACTATCTTCAGGGTAAAATTGGATGCCTTGGTCAGTGACAAGTCACTTTTCAGGTCTTTAATGTCTAGTCAGCAATCCACGCATGAATCTATCAATAATTTCTACGGGTGATTTCAGGAGCAATGAATGCACTGGAGCCTACTTTATGAAAATACTGAGGCTCCTGAAGCATAAATTCACTTCATTTCAAATTATAATTGAATTAGCATATCTCTGATGTATGGTTATCATAATAACTCACTATTTTAATTATTTTCTAATGTGATTGGAGTAAAATAATAGGGAGCAGAGTTGTATTTATTTTGTTTGGTTTGGGATTTCACATCTCTAACCTTGTGGCAATGCTGTTAATTTCACTGTTTTGTATGTGTTTTTGTAGTAGTATTGAGACGACTGCATTCCGATTTGGCCAGATAGGTTATCACAAACAGTTTCCCAACAAGTGCACCAAGTCACAGAGTTACAGCTTTGATAGGGCCTGGGAGAAATGGGAGCCCCCATGCCTCTCAGCAGTCAGGATAAGCCTCAACTATTCATTCCAGCTTACCCACAAACATTTTTAAAATTTATCTTTATTGTTGAAAGTATTACAGATGTCCCCTTTCCCCCCACTTATCCCCTTTATTCCACACTTACCCCCTTATTTTTAAGTGCTATCTTATGAGAAAAGACAGAAAGCCATACTACAGAGTACAGAACAATTTTACCTCAAATATAGACCTATATCTATTTGCTAGCTACCCCTCAATATGAAGTAAATCATTTATATTTGAAAAATATACCCTTATACTTGATAATCTTCAAGTTTGTGAATGAAACAATAATATATTATTTCCTTTAATATAATGCAATAAAATATAACTGAAAAATCAGGCAATCATTTAATAAGCCAATAAAGGGCAAAAGTTCATTATGATGCCTTTTAAATAAATTCTGGCTCAAACACCCAATAATATAGTGCCATAAATATCCATTCTCCTCCCTCTCACACAGAGTTTAAAAAAACATTTTTATTGATTTCAGAGAGGAAGGGAGAGGGAGAGAGAGATAAAAACATCAATGATGAGAGAATCATTGATCAGGGACCCAGCACGCAACCCAGGCATGTGCCCTGACCACAGAATTGAATCAGGACCTACGGGTTCATAGTCGATGCTCAACCACTGAGCACGTTGGCCACACCAAACTCTTCTATAGAGTGCTAATCTGAGTCAGGATTGAATCGAACATTATTCTTTAATTTATCCAAGGCCTTTCTCTTTTCTGGCTAATAACCTGATATCATTTTCTCAAATATTAAATTTATTTTGTTGCCAGAATTAACAGTTACCAAACTGTTCTTTTGTTCATATATTCATACATTATTGCATATATGAGGGTTGCTAGAAGCCATGCTGATTTATAGGTGGTAGGGAGTAGGCAATATCCCATCTGTATAAACATGATTTCTACACATCATTCTGGAGAGATGAAATCAGAGCTATGTCTTAACAAACTAAATGTGTAATCATTCTCCAGATAGGCTGAAATAAAATATTCAGATGTTAAATCGCCCAAGGCAAATTACTACTACACTGAATTTTCTCTAAGGATTACGCTTTTCTTTACCTTCATGTGAAAGCAGAAATATTATCTTTTTATTGCCTGGAGATTCAGCTGTTGAAGCTATGGAAAAAAGATATGCTTGTAAAAAGAATTTAAAATTGTTCTTTTGTTATATATGCTACTGAATTCACTAATAAGGCAATTGAGTAGAGTGTCCTCCAGGGGTGAAATAAAAGAACATTCCATATGCCAAACTATTTATCTCCTTGGCCCACCTCTGGTCATACTCTACTCATTTCTGTCTGTAGGTTTGGTTTGTGTGTAGGTCAAATTACCTCCTATTTTGTTATATCTTTGCCCTGGCAGGAGGCAGAGCCCTGATTCAACAATTGTGCTGTTATTAGCCACCTCCCCTTTAACACCATCACTTCAGCCACAGTACAAAAGGCAGTTTTTAACTAATCTTATTCATAGATGAAAAAACATCTACATGTGTTATAATCACTAAGAAAATCGCCCCTCTTTTTTTCAAATATATAAATTAAAAATGACCAAAAGACTTTACATTATTGCTTACTTGACTCATTTTTCAAACAAACAAACAAACAAAAACCATCAAACAACCAACCAAAAAACATAAGTCTTATATCAAAGCAGTAGATTTAAAATAAAAAGATATGTTTAAATCAGACCTTAAAAATTTGGAAAATTTTCCATCAGTTTATGATTTCAGGAGAGCTTTATCTTTAGATTTATGTTCCATTGTCAATAGCTCTTCACTGTTTAACTTGAGGGATTCTCTACCACCCTAAATACTCCCACTTCCACTACACTAAAGTTGTTAATGATTTATGATACATTTGTGTACCTAAAACCCATTGACAATTTAAAAAAAATATATTTCTAGCCCTAAAAAAACCCCATGTTTTTTAAATGTAACTTTCATTTTCACTTATTTTTAACAAGCAAGGCACAGCAGCACATGGGTTCAAAAAGCAAAGTCCTCTACATCAAACAATAATAATAGCTACTATCCGTAATGTGGATAGTGAATTAGGAATATTCAAGCATTAGTGGTCAGTTTTTTAACCTCTCAAATATGTATTTCTTTCTTAATTTACCAGAGGAGCTAACTGAAGACTTAGAGAACATAATATAGCCCCAGGTGATTCAGTCTCAGAGTAGAGCTGGAATTTCAACCCAGGTATATGTTTGTATCCAACGCCTATGCCCTTTATTTTTATGCCATGTTTACACAATTGCCCATTTTGAGTCACTTTTGGGGTCAAGAAGTAATACCTTCCACAGGCTCACAGATCTCATTTCTGACAGTTTTCAGAAAAAAACCCACAAAAACCAAAAAACAAAACTCAATCCTCCTTTATCTACTATTGGTGCTCTTCACCCTGAACAAGATAATTGATTCTTACTACCTGAATGGGTTTTGATCTGTTTTCCTCCATTACCTCAGGGTCATATTGCCAGGGCATTCTTTCCCCTTAAGCGGTGAGAGTAGAGAGGAGACCACTCACATCGAGTAATCCAGGCAGTAACTTCCAGGCAGTAATCTCCAAACCTGGTATTGTCCACTTAAAAATGCTTGTGAATAAACAGAATTAGAACAGGAGAAGAGGAGTCTATGAAGTCTGGAGCCTTCCCCCTCTTCCTCTTGCATTTTTAAAAAAATTTTGGCACAGAACACTTAATGAGCATCCACTGTCTGCTAGTCACTGCTAAGTGTTATGGGTGATATGCACAAGGCAAGGCAGAATAAATAAAGGTCAAAACTGGTTTAAAGAAAGGACTATGCAAGCCAGAATCAGAAGTTTTCTCAACTCCTATGCCATGCCTGTATTAGTTGTCTGGGGCTTCCATAACAAGAACCACAGACTGGGTGGCTTAAACAACAAAAACTTATTTTCTCACTGTTCTGGAGGCTGGAAGTCCAAAATCAAGGAGTCTGCTGTGTTATCAGTTTCTCCCAAGCCTCTCTCCTTGAATTGCAAATGTCCGCCTCCTGGCTGTTTCCTTTTCTTCCCACATGCCATCCCTGTGTCTCTTTCTCTTCTTATAAGGACACCAGTTTGTTTGCTTCCAGTACCATCCTTATAACATCTTAACCTTCATTACCTCTTTAGAGTCCCTATCTCCAAATATAGTCATATTGAGGGTTAGGGATAAAAGATATACATTTTGATGGGACACAATTCAGTGCATGAAAATGCCCATTGCATAGATGGCTATAACTTGCAGTAGAAAGAAGTCAAGAGATTCAAGAAAAAAAAATTATAGTGGTTAGAAGCATGGATGCTGGAGCCAGAGGGTCACATCCCGAGTCTGCCAGGACCTAACTGTGAAAACACTGGTCAAGTTTCTTAACTTTGGTGCATCAGTTGCCATCGTTTAAAACAGGGACAAGAAGAGCACCTACCTCCTAGGTTACTGTCATTTGAAATAAGTTGGCTATTTCAACTTATGTATATGAAAAGTTTTAAAGATGCTATTACGCCTCTTTCCCCTCTGGATATGAAATCACAGGAATCATGAGAATAAAATGCAAGAGAGAAGATGGGGTGGAAATTAAACTTTTTAATTGAGAAGTATTGACACACTAATTTTTCTTAATTGTAATCATTTACTTCTATAATAGTAGTTGTGAGGATAGGCCCAACACAGAGACACACACTTTAGATTCTTAAATTTGTATCCTAATTCATTCTTTATCGAGCACCCCATCACATACTAAAAATTGTCCCAGGCCCTTCACCCACTTTAGCAGTTGGGGAAAATGAGCCATATGATATAGAAGGAGAAAAAAAAGCCAATCAATTCACAATGGCATACAGCAAGTTGATATTTATCACGTGACCGGGAAAATACACAGGAGCAGTATTGACTGGATCCTGTTGCATGGGCTTCCCCTAGTGCTGGCCTGAACCCCGAGATGCGGGTTTGGGCTGACCCTGCGCCCTGGCACCTGCCAACCAGTCGGCC